GTCACATTTGTTCTTTGAAACAGTGAGGAGATCCAGCAGGTAATCTCCGAATTTTTTTGTAAGTACATCGTGGATAAATAAGATCTGATGCACAAGCCGTCAATCATTAAGAGATGTTAAGTTTGACCCAATGTAGAGATCACAGTGGTGGGTCCTATATGGCCAGTTCAATGCAAACCTTAAGGCTGAGTGATAAATTGAGTCAAGCTTGATAATTGGTTCTTTACCCTTCTATCTGGCAACAAAACTGACACCTAGAAGGGTAAAGAACCAATTATCATATTTTTACTGGCAAATGAGGTTCCCATAGTGTGAGTCAAGCTTCTTCAGTACAGTACTGGGGGCTGATTTATATACGATGTCATAGTAATCAAGTAGAGGCAGTATGGTAGCTTTGATCAATTTCAAACGGAACATAGGGGGGAAGCAGTGCTTGTGTCGATACAGAAAACCATTTTTATTTTTGTCTTTATAACAAAATGTAATCGATGTCATCTTCAAATTTCAGTTTTGAATCCAGGATAACCCCAAGATACTTATAGATCTTGACTTGCTCTATTTGATCATTATTTAAGGAATGTAATGAGGGAAAAATAACTTCCCGCTTTAGTCCTGGTGAGAAGCATAGCACCTTGGTTTTGGAGGTATTCAGGACCAGTTTAAGAGCAACTAGCTGATATTGTAGTTTGTTGAAATCACCCTTGAGCTTAGCAATCACGTCATCTGGAGAGCGGCCAGCGGTAATCAATATCGTGTCATCTATAATCAGTATCGTGTCATCAAAGTGAGATCCTGAACCGCTCTATTCTAAGGGGTTAAAATAATCCCACCCCCAGTGATTTCCTGGTCAAGCTGCTTTTGCAGCCTCAAGGGTACAAGCATCTGTGCACCCGGGGGAACTCTAACAGTTTCACGCACCAGGTCCTGAACCACAGCATTAGACATTCAACCCTGTAGGGGACTCCAAAAATCTCAACCAAAGCCCCGACGGTAACTCTACACAACCCTGGTCAATCAAAATCCGGAGGCGCATTCTCTTAAAAAATCGGTCCCCAATAAACACGGCACCGGCAATGAACTTAAAACTAACACCAGGCCCGTGCATTTAATATCTCCAATCCGTCATAACACAGTGTGCCAATGCGGTGTATTGCCCGGACCTCCGTGGCCAATAATCACGCACCGAAGTATCATCTTCGCACCCCGTATCTCTATGGGGGGCGATGGCGTGTGCACCTGACACTGACTGCAATAGAGATACATGAGGTGGCTGAGGCCGGCACGATGGAGGATGGCGAAGCCGGGAAAAACTGCCACAAATCAGCACGGCAGCCCCTGGAGATGTGCCCTGGTAGGCCACATCTGAAACAGGTAACGGGACCACGCCATGGTGGAGGGAATGTCCTCCCCCCACTGGTCCCGTCGTCGTCCCGTGCCGATTCTCCCGCGCGGGCTCCAACTCCCCGATGCACAGACCCGAGAAGACTCTCGGTGCTCCTTGTCACCCTCTTCTCCTGGGAATCCAGCCCAGGCTGCCACCACCGGCACACCATCGCAGGTTACAATGGGCCTGGATGCATCGGGATACCTGAATCGAGAACAAGTCGTCTTCCTCCGTGGCGGGCAAAAAAAATGCTAATTTCTTGAGCCAGCGCCATCAGAGTATCTAGTCCCCCCTGCTCCATTTTTGGGTACGCAGTCTGGGCCAGTTACAATAGGGCACTGCGGAAGGCGAGGGGCGTCTCGGTCTCCCCCTGACTCCGCATCACGAATTTCTGCCGCGCGTTGGACGGCGGATCAAAAATCTCTGCCAACTGTCAATATGCTTGCCGCAACATCGCCCTGTCCGCCTGGGGAATGGAAAAAAACGCCGCCAAGGCATCGTTGTCTAGCGTGGTGGAAAGAGCACGTAGTGCCTCTGCGTCGGACCACCCAGTGAGTTAGTAAGTGGTGGTGAAACGCCACCAAAAGGCCACCCAATCACCCCCCACAGCCAAATATTCCTTAATAAACGGCAGCCACTGCGCGAGGGAAGACGCCCCAGGATGAGATGTCGGCAGCAGGTTAAATTCAGTGGGACTCGATTCCCACCCTTGGTCGGGAGTGATGCGGAGTCGCCCATTTGCTGCCCCCAAGTCGCAGCCCTCTCCACTGGCTCTTCCTTACCCAGCTGCCCCACCAGTGCCGTCACCGCGGAGAGGAGCTCCATGATGCGCGCGAAGAGTGCCCACAGCCCCTCTCTAGCCGGCGGTTCGGGATCGTCATCCTTCGCCCGCTGCCCCGCCGAAACCGCATCTCCGGGACCCCCAACCGGGGTCCCGGCTGCCCAAGAACCCTCCTCACCATCGCCCTCTTCGCTTGAGGACGTGCTGATGAGAGCAATCCTCTTCAGGACTGTCGACCTATCTCCCCTCACCGGGTTCGAAGGGGAACAAAAATCCTACAATAAAAACAACTGTACAATAAAAAAAACATAAATGTTTCGTTAACTTCTGACACCAAATGTAGTGTACTAATTCAGATACACTAGTAGGAGGCGTTATCCCTCTTGTTTATTCCAGCTCTCACAGCCATACCGGGTTGGGACAGCCAAAATGCTTCCAGACCCACAGCTTGAAGAGGCGAAGACCACAACGACAGCAGCATGACGATTTCCATTTCCAATGGCAGCAGCCCCAGCGTGGCCAGGCTCCGCCCTCGGCCACGCACCCTTCTGTATCACCCAGAAGGCTCCGGACTTGGCCCACGGGTCCACCTGGTAGAACGGGCTGCTACCCCTAATTCCATTGCCTACCAATCTCCCAGCACCACGCGGAACAGCGACTCATTCATTCAACACTAGTATTGGGTAAATCTCCAAACGAAGTCAAACAATCTCAAAAACGATTTCGATTTCATTCAATATCAATTGTCATCACTAAAATTGCTCCTGAATACCCAACGAAGATCATGATATTTTCTTAAAAAATAAATCTAGTTTCATTCCATTCACCTGTTACGGATATCAGAAGCAATATCATTGAACAAACAGAGTGCTTTAAAAACTTGAGTTTACTAATTGATTAAAAACTTACATTCTAACCCCATATTGATCACATATCAAAGAATATAACAAAAAATAGTTTTTTTAATGCAGAAACAAACATTGTTTTCCCAATTGTGCCTGTTGAAGCAATCATTCTACCACTTGTTGACTACTGTGACACTGCTTAAAGATCAGCTACTAATGAAACACTAAAAAAAAACGCTTCTCATTCTGTTCTTCGATTTGCACTGGATGTACCATACAGGACCCACCATTGTGACCTCTACTTAAAATCCAATCTCACATCACTTTATGCATGAGGAAATCTACATTGGACCCTCTTCATTCATAAAATCCTTATTGGTAAATCTGCACTTAGCTAATTCATTTACCCCATTATCAATCCCAAGACACCTAAGATGTCCATCGAATTGCCTTTTAACCATCCCAAGAACAAGAATTGGAATAGGTGACAAAGCCTTTGTCTTTACAGCACCAACCGTTTTGGAAAAATCTTGTTTCCTCCCTTATCATCCTAAATATTCCTTGAGAAATATCCTGAAGCAGAAGATTAGTGCTGGATACAACTGTATTTGCAAATGTGATTTGCAACTTTCATCCTTACCCATGCATCGATTGTTACATTTTAATGTGCAATTGTATTGAGGGACTGCGTTGTCTTTGTCTGGTCTAGGACTGTTTTTATGTTGTTGTGCTGCATTACTCAAGCTTGGGAATTGGTGTACTTGTGCAATTTGAATATACTCAATCGATTTTACGTATTTACTTTCAGTGACTTGCTTACTTTTCCTACACTTTGCACTCCAATCGTTTGCTTGTATTGTTTGTTGTTGTAACTTTCTTACCTGCTCCTACTGGACATCTGTGAAAAATAGCTTCAAAGCTCATCTGATTTTTCTAGGATAAATAAAGATTCTGGTTGCTATTTATTACGAACGAGAGAGTACGAACAGGACACAATTCACCGATTCTGGGACCGATTAGTGACCCAAAGACCGTGGAATTTCATAGAATTTCCAGAAGGGAAATAATTGTACATCTACGTTGTTTGAGATGTTTTGTTAAAAGTGTGTACGAGCAATTATGCATATTGTACAATGTAAAGTGAAGTGATATTACCTTACAAAACTTGTATTCCCAATCATAATGGCTTTACATGGTAATCTCTCACACAGATGCAGATATTGTTTTCCCCCAGGGATAATGGAGTTGTGTGATTTCTTGAAAATCATTGACCGATTAACTTCCTCACCATAATATATGCAATTGCCGTAGTTCAACTCAATACAATATAACACGTCCATATAGACTTGTACTTACAGTATACACTTGAATTTACGTCCGTAAAGGTTAATAACAATTTATTAATATGAAACGTTGCTTTCAAGATTAGCCACTAATTGCCATAAATCTGGTAAATGAACAACACATTTTTATTCTTGTAAGCTGCACTTTCCCAAACCCTCCGTTTATTTATTGTTTTTTTTTCCCGACAAGAGCCCGATAGAGCGCGAACCGTAACAAGGGGGCACTGAAATTCCACGGACAGAATCCTCTAACTCAGTGCCCATGGGTTAAGGGAAGATGAGAAAAGCGGGCTCGCTGCCCTGCTTGCGTAGTGGAAACGGAGGGCAACCCCTAGATTTTTCAGAATCAGAACATGTATTTATACTGGAGGAATCCGATGAGCTATGGAGCTATTTTTCACAGATATTCAGTCAGGGCATGTAAGAACGTTATAAACAGTACAAAAAACATGGTAGTTGTGCAAAGTACAAGCAACCTAAACCATCCCCATCCTACCAGGCAAAGCCTTTAAAACTTTCCTTCTTGGCAGTACACCCTACACCACCGTTAGCGTCTAGACTTGTTGGACTGCTCACCGCAATTGTTGCTGAATCTCTCGTTTTGCCATTTCTGCTGCCGCTGTTGTCATTTGTCATGTTTGTGGCAGAAAAAAGAGCAATCTAGCCTGGCGCAGAAAACCAACAACACATACACCGTGAGCCCGTCCAGCTTCCCGCAAGGAGTCGCCCGGGACAGCGGCGTTCCCACGGTGACCCGCAGCGCGACCGCGGGCCCTCGATCCGCCACGGCTGCCTCTGGCCCCACTGAGCCGAAGCCTGCCGAGCCGAAACCCGCGGAGCCCAAGAAGACGTACAACAGCGTGAGCAAGGTGGACAAGCTGTCCCGCATCCTCTTCCCCTTGCTGTTCGCCTCCTTCAACCTGGTCTATTGGGCCACCTACCTCAACAAGGTGCCCAAGATGAAAGGGGTGATCTTTCAAAACTGAGGGCAGGCTTGCCTGCCGTAGACCTGCGTTCCTAAAAGGCACGGCTCGACCGCGTAGCAGGCGGCGAGGTGAGTGGTGAGGCGGTGCGTCGGCACTCACCTCCTCCGCATTCGCTACAGCCGGGAGCCAGTGGGGGGGGGGGGAGTCCCCCTCTTAACTTTGAAATTAAACTGACAGGTTTTTTGTTTGTTGTTAAGGCACTCGTGTTGTTTTGTAAGGAAGTTCGGCTGGCTTCACATTTGCTCATCTCACCATGGGGCTGTAATCTCGTAGGAAATACATGTGCTTTTTTTTTTTACACGCAGCGTTGTTCCATTTGTTCCAGTGGAACAAGTTGACGATTGCCAGTTGTATGCCCTGGAACATCTTTACAATTGGACGGACTGAGGTTTTATGGACTTGACAACAATGTCAAGGACACCACCTCTGAGGCAAAACCTACGAGAATAGGTGAAGATTACGTGGAATCTCATTTCAGAAATAATATTTATCAAGGTGATTACTATGATTTTACATATTTGGTATATATTTTCTTTAATGTCTTCGTGGTATAACCCTCTGTAGACTCGAATGAGCTACGGTTCCTTTCTCACGTCTCCTGCTGCGTGCGAGGCAACATATCTCTTTGGGCTTGGGGCATCCTTGCAAGCAGGGTTTCTGTGGGACATTCTTCAACTTAATAAAATTGTTTAATTACACTGCTGGACGAGAAAATATGTAGGCAACTAAGTTCATGCAAATATCAACGTGTAACATAAAATGTCGCACAACTCTTTCCGGGAAAAAACAATCGATTGCATTCAACAAAGTGGCACCGTTTAACTTCAGCTTTTGACGGGGACCAGAATCGCCCGACATTCGGTTGACTCCTGCAGCCACTTGTGTCAGATTTTTTTTTTAAATAGCTGCGTTTTCCAGACTTTATTACATAAATCCGGCTCTGTACATCATCAAATTACATTGCTCACAGCCGCAGGAGCCTTTGCAAGTTCGACGAGGGGATTTTTGTTGTTGTTTGATGACATGCAACGACTGATCTAGCCCCAAGCTTTAAGCCAACTTTTGCTCTCACGTTGAACTCTCCCGGTTCGGTAATAAATTGGCTTTCAAGTGGATTCCCTTGTAGCACCACTGGAGATGTAGTCTGTTGACTCTCGTGTGCGCTGAGTTTGCTTGGGGATGGAATACTCATGGACGGCACCGTTTAGGTCCGCATAGACCATCGGCGGACACGTTAACCCTTGCTATACATATACAGAACTCGCGAATAGTATTTAAAAATACTGTGGTCACACTGCATCTCTTCACTTTTATGCTGTCCCACGATGAACTTGAGTTCTGATACGAAGGGGTTAGGGTGAGGGATACTCGATCGAGACAACTGGGATGAGTTACAAATACCGCTCCTCGCCATTTGTGTACCACTCACAAGCGACAAAGGTAACGATCCAAAAGCATGAACCAAACGCTTTTCTTTTACACATTATAAAAGCACTTACTGCAGCTAAAAACTACTGTATTTAATGTAGAATAGTCATTATATCTATATATCGGCATTTGTTGTATGTATTTGTGTATAACGAATTAAAATTTTGAGAATGAGATAATAAAATTCGTTTATGTACAAACTCAAACTTACAGAACTTTATTTTTAATAGTCACCCATAGTAATATCATCAGAAATAAGTGGCTAGTGTGTAATAATGACATGGTGATGGATATGTTTTTTTACTATCTTGTTCTCAAAATGTTTTTACTGCCCGTCATACTCTATATGCAGTATACACATACAAAACAGGTACATGTTGACATACATACTCACATACACACAAGCATGCAGGTGTACAACGTGCACACCTGCATATATGTAATTTGTCTAACTGGAACATTGTTATATACGAGGTTGAATTAAAGTACTGTCATGCTTTGCCAATATTGGGCTTATTTAAAATGTTTCTGCAATAAACTGGCTCCGATGTGTGAGCAGCTGCTCAGTGGGGTGTAGAGGTTCATGAATATGGGCTAATTTTCGGTAGGAAAGTGACCAAATAAATCTATGGAAAGGCTTTTTTTAAGTACGCTTGGTACGACTCCAAAATTGACGTTAAACGACCTTAGCACATTCAAATGCTTCCATGTTCCTATATAATTTTTCGTTAGGATTAATGTTTAATTGATTTCAGTTCTTCATTGGAATGCATTCATTTTCATGGGGCTACCCTGTAGGATGTTCTTCTTGGCAGAACAACATTAACTGTTGTTGGATCAACATTGTTACCGACCACGATTATAACCACATGCCAGCGTTGACCCAACATTGCTGACATTAACTGGGTATTCTCCACTCTGATAGCAGTTATATTTTCTTCATGAAGATTTGGTTATTTCACTATGCATCAAATGGGTAGTTATTCCGACCATGTCTCAGTCTGGTGGAGAATTGGCCAGTGGCTCTGATAGTGGCAGAGCTGGCGTGCGACCAGGTAGTGGCGAGGCCATGCTCCGATCCCCCGGAATGCCGGATTGCCTGGAAAGACAAGCTCGCCAAATCCAGAATGGTTTGGGGGTCAATGTATCCCTTACTCATCATCATCCATCCTCAGTTAATAGAAATGAGGAGCAACATGACGTAATCATCTTGTGGGAAAGGAGGTTGCAGAGGGAGGGGACACGAGCAGGGCAAAGGAGAACATCGGTTTAAGAAGTCGGGGCAGGTGACGCTATTATTCTGACTTCCTGGTTCCATTCTGAGGTTGTGATACAGTTTCAAATGAAACGTCGTATCTGTTTCAAATGTTTTTTTGTGAGTATTGTTCTTCAGCTCACCAGTGTGAGCTGAAACAATGATATTTGGCGCGTTGAATGTTCGTACAGTGCACGACAGTTTCATTTGTGTGGCTGTGTCAGGTCGGTGAAGGGTCCTGCGAAGTAAATCTGTTTGGATCGTTTACGCAGTGGCCTAAACCTATGGCAATTATGAATTACGCCCCATGTGTTAATGGAACGTCTGAGCGAGGCAGGCGTTTGTGTCGAGTACCAACACACGTGACGATGATTATAACGATGGTCCGGCGCTGCCTCTGCAACAGCTGCAGGGTCAGGCAGAAGAGACTGATGGTGACGCGCACCATGACTTTAGGAGCCATTGTCGGTGACAGTTTCTTCCTTAAAACTTAAACTTTAGTGTGTGTGTATATGAATGGAGCACAATTGGGGAGCGGTGGTGTTGCAGTTAGCGCGTTGCGCTATGAACCCAACAGAGTTCAACTCCCGCTTGCGGCCAACACCAGTGACGATTATTTGAACTGGTCATTGGGCATCCCCTAGGTCGACTCATTCTCAAATGAGTACCTAGTGCGGTGTGTAAACATCGCCACTGGGAAGACAAAAGCGGTCGGGCATGGTGCTGGCCACCCACCCCCTCATATACCGTCCCGGCCTTCATAGGAGCTCGCTAACAGCACTTGCACCAGTCTGTTAAGGCTATACGGGGGATTTAAAAATTGGTTTGGAGCATAAGTGATCCTTATTTGGGCTCTTCAAACCCCCCTCCTCCCCCCTTCCCCAAACCGCATTGGCCAGCATTGCGAGAGTACGGTCGAATAACCCCCGGCGCGTGTGTGGCTCGAGGACGCCTCCGTTCAGCAGTGTATCGGCACAGCCGCACGTGATATACGCGGCGACAATGAAAAACCTCCATCCACAAATTATTATTGCCTCACGTTTCTGCAATCGTCGGCCACAACCACGTGAAGGGCCGCCGATGTGTGGGGCCCGCCTGCAGGGTGTGGAGCATAGAGCACGGATTGCCCTCCGGTGGTCCATCGCTTCGCCGACCGATTCCGCACTCTGCCACCTGGCTCGGCACATTCGTGGAACCATTCACACTTTTTGAAGAGCACACACACACACACCTGCCCATGGTGGTCACGTGCATATTTATCTGGGTCGTCCGGTTTTTGCCCTCCACATTGAGAAACATGTGTTTAGATTATTTGGCTGCTGCTATAAATGCCCACATATCATAAGCCAGGTCGATGAGCTATCATGTATGACCAAATCGCCTCTGAAAAAATATATACCAACTCAATGGGCTTCACCTAGTAATATAATAGTAGTGACTTGCTTGGGAGTAATGAGTGGCCCTGTCACCGGTGCAATGTGAAATACCCTCCACTGTCTCACGACCTGAATAGTCCAGGAATTGGCATCCGTGTTTGGGCTGCAGGAACCGATTTGTACCGCGATCTGGAACCGGTCTTTGTGTGTTAAACGTCACTGCAGTAAATTGCAGTTTGGCTAGACCGAGGCTGGCTGAGAAATGTCTTTGTTTAAGATGGTAACGACCCCTAGCACCACCCCCTTAGTTCACTGGGACCATGGGAACACATGCAAATATTATGAATTGACAATACAATTTGCTAATGAAACACATATAATACATCTCGTTAACATAGTAAAGTGTTTACACGTTTGCTGTCATGCTCACTAATTGGATTCTGGCAGACATCCGTTTTAATTGTAAATTCTCACAACGCTTTCATGCGGCAATGGTTTCACAGTGTGCCATGCTGATCGAGGTAGCGCGTGTGCACACACACACAGATCTCAACTTGAAAAGGGCACTGCACACTTACATCTTGCGAGGGTGGAGAGTTTAGAAAGAGTACCATTGCCACTCAGACCACTGGCATGAGTTCGACTTTGTACTTCATCATTGCCCCATACAGTGAGGGAAAAAAGTATTGATCCCCTGCTGATTTTGTACGTTTGCCCACTGACAAAGAAATTATCAGTCTATAATTTTAATGGTAGGTTTATTTGAACAATGAGACAGAATAACAACAACAAAATCCAGAAAAAGGCATGTCAAAAATGTTATAAATTGATTTGCATTTTAATGAGGGAAATAAGAATTTGACCCGCTCTCAATCAGAAAGATTTCTGGCTCCCAGGTGTCTTTTATACAGGTAACGAGCTGAGATTAGGAGCACACTCTTAAAGGGAGTGCTCCTAATCTCAGCTTGTTACCTGTATAAAAGACACCTGTTCACAGAAGCAATCAATCAGATTACAAACTCTCCACCATGGCCAAGACCAAAGAGTTCTCCAAGGATGTCAGGGACAAGATTGTAGACCTACACAAGGCTGGAATGGGCTACAAGACCATCGCCAAGCAGCTTGGTGAGAAGGTGACAACAGTTGGTGCGATTATTCGCAGATGGAAGAAACACAAAAGAACTGTCAATCTCCCTCGACCGGGGGCTCCATGCAAGATCTCACCTCGTGGAGTTGCAATGATCATGAGAACGGTGAGGAATCAGCCCAGAACTACACGGGAGGATCTTGTCAATGATCTCAAGTTAACTGGGACCATAGTCACCAAGAAAACAGTTGGTAACACACTACGCCATGAAGGACTGAAATCCTGCAGCGCCCGCAAGGTCCCCCTGCTCAAGAAAGCACATATACATGCCCGTCTGAAGTTTGCCAATGAACATCTGAATGATTCAGAGGACAACTGGGTGAAAGTGTTGTGGTCAGATGAGACCAAAATGGAGCTCTTTGGCATCAACTCAACTCGCCGTGTTTGGAGGAGGAGGAATGCTGCCTATGACCCCAAGAACACCATCCCCACCGTCAAACATGAAGGTGGAAACATTATGCTTTGGGGGTGTTTTTCTGCTAAGGGGACAGGACAACTTCACCGCATCAAAGGGATGATGGACGGGGCCATGTACCGTCAAATCTTGGGTGAGAACCTCCTTCCATCAGCCAGGGCATTGAAAATGGGTCGTGGATGGGTATTCCAACATGACAATGACCCAAAGCATACGGCCAAGGCAACAAAGGAGTGGCTCAAGAAGAAGCACATTAAGGTCCTGGAGTGACCTAGCCAGTCTCCAGACCTTAATCCCATAGAAAATCAGTGGAGGGAGCTGAAGGTTCGAGTTGCCAAACGTCAACCTCGAAACCTTAATGACTTGGAGAAGATCTGCAAAGAGGAGTGGGACAAAATCCCTCCTGAGATGTGTGCAAACCTGGTGGTCAACTACAACAAACATCTGGCCTCTGTGATTGCCAACAAGGGTTTTGCCACCATGTACTAAGCCATGTTTTGCAGAGGGGTCAAATTCTTATTTCCCTCATTAAAATGCAAATCAATTTATAACATTTTTGACATGCGTTTTTCTGGATTTTGTTGTTGTTATTCTGTCTCTCACTGTTCAAATAAACCTACCATTAAAATAGACTAATGATTTATTTGTCAGTGGGCAAACGTACAAAATCAGCAGGGGATCAGATACTTATTTCCCTCTGTAATTTTGGTCGCGAATCATCGAAGAGTAAAAACCTTGTCCTTGTCTAACAGAGCTGTCTCCAAAGTTGTCCTTCATCAAGAGGCCATGTATCACCGGGCCCTCACCTGGTTAAACACGAAATAGATTAATAATAGAGGGGGGGGTGGGAGTTGTTTGATCGCGTAAATATGAATGTGTCGTTAAACACGCCACCATCCGACAGCCAATGAGTAAGCTTTGTCACGTAAACAAACCATGCCAAGTCGTTTATAGTTCAGCACACTGGTGTGTTGGAGAATAAACCCGCATCATTTACATGCTGAGCGAGTCACAAATTGGCATGTTTTGTTCATGTGACAAACCTGTTGGGTGGTGGCGGGTTTAATGGCACATTTGTTGTGGCAGGACCTGCTTGTCCCGCATAGGCCTCGTCAGCCACCAGCGTGTGCAGAAGACGTGGATGTCCTTCCTCGGTCTTCGTTCGCGAAGCCAAGCCATGATGTATTTAAGCGATCTAACCCAAAAAACCCTATGTTATGGATAATATTGGTCGCGAAAGCCTATGTGTTAATCTTACGAAATAGATTGGGTACGTAATTGGCAACCCAAGATCAACAAGTACAATAACCCACATCCACCCATCGCCATCGGTTCTCTGACATTGCTTTCGTTAAAACACTTCAAGTAAAACAAAGTGCAGAACTATATATTTTTTTGTAAGATGGAAATTCTCTTGGTAAGTTAGGATATGCACTGTACATAATTATGATGATAATGTGGTCCTAGACCCTAGCAGACAGGTTCAAACCCTGCTGGTACTGCTGTTGTTGCTTTCCCTTTCCCGTTAGCGTCGAGTGAAGCAATATCCGTGTGTGTGAGAGCGACAAAGGGCTTCTGCAACTGAGCAGCAACACTTCGTGTATTCGCTTTTAGATGCTTTGCTGCACCAAGGTGTAAAAGAAGTACATTGTTGGCATAAGGAGAGTCTATTTTTTATTGCCGAGTGCTGTAAACTGGTACGGGAGATATACAAGTAGCATATCCACATGGCAGCATGTTTCTGCGCACTATCCAGACCTGGCCGAGTTTCGTGTGTGGACACCCCGTTTTGTTTTGTCGTGTAACAAAAATAGGCTAGCTGATATTGCAAATCTTGTAACATTGTATTGCAATAAAATAATCAAGAGAGAAAACAAATATCACATTTTTTTACGTTAAATACGTGTACAGTAGTATGAGCAAATTTTGACTTAAAGCATCCGTGACTGCAGGAATTCATATTCTTGGGTTTTTCGGTAAAGTCACGTAGATAGGTTCAAAGAAAATAATAGATTATAACAGAAAACTACGACGTTTCGATCGCAACACAAGCGGTCGTCTTCAGGAAAAGGGGGGTTAGCTTCCAAGGGACATTGTTTCTAAGCGTTTGAAATGGGCGTCGCCCAAATGTCAGCAGCCAATGATAATGTAAGTGTTCCGCAGCGAGCCGGCAGTGGTTCGTTTTCCACCAATCAAAGGGCTGCCAGGTGAAGATTTGCATGGTAAAGAGAGATTAGCATACTTTGATTCTTTCGGGAAAGCCACGTAGGTATAAAATAATATAAATCACGACGTTTCAGGCGCAACACAAGCGCCCGTCATCAGGTGGGAAGGCATGATCTGCTGCTGAAACGTTGTGATTTATTTTATACCTACGTGACTTTACCAAAATAACCAAAGAGTATGGAATCCTGCAGTCACAAAAGCTTCAAATCAAGAGATGGTGGTAGGATGGGAACATTGTTTATGAAGCCATCCATATATATAGACAGACAAAATTTCAACCGAGAAGATGGGTATAAACTGAGCAATCATTGGAAGGATGTTATCAACCAGTTTAAGTCATAATTGGCGATTATGTTCTCATCCTACCACCTTCCGATGTTAGTTGTGCTTTACGCCCATTTCAAACTTGCGCTCTCAGTCACTTCACGCGCCGACCCCTTGGTTGCGGCTCTGTGATCACCCATTAGCATGCTAATATCTCTTTAACATGGTAATTTTCACTTGGCAGCTCTTTGATTGGTGGAAAACGAACCACTGCTGGGCTCGCTGCAGAACACTCACATTATCATTGGCTGCTGACATTTGGGTTACGCCCATTTCAAGCCCTTAAAAACAGTGTCCCTTGGAAGCTAAACCCCCCTTTTCCTGAAGACGACCGCTTGCATTGCGATCAAAACGTCGTAGTTCTGTTATTTTTGATAATTTTCTTTTAACCTATCGACATGACTTTACCAAAAGACCTAAGAATAGTAGGAGAAGTAGTTTTGTAAAAAAAAAAAAATCATGAGAGCAGCATATCATCTTCCCACACTACTACTAACTACGCTTTCCATGTCTTGCCAGACTGCGGCTTATCTGTCAGTTCTTACACGGGGGAGAGGGGGAAGCCGTTGGGCTGGGGAGGGATGCACCGCCAGAGGCAGCAGCGAGGCAATGCAGTGGTGGGTTTGTGGATGGGTTCCTTCCCATCTGCTGCTTGTGATGGCCACTGCTTGAGCAAGAAGGTCGCAGGCGGGCCCACCCAGGGGGTGGCCACACCCTAGCCCATCACTCCATCTCTCCACAAACAGCAAGATGACAGAGTGTGGTGCACCTACGCCACTGTACGTTATTTTATCTTGACTTTAAAGACTGCAATATGAGGAGACCGTTTGTCTTCTTCTTTCGGTAAAGTCACGTAGAAGGAAAATAATAAAATAATAAAAATAAAATATAATAAAATAATTCTCACGACGTTTCGGCCACAACGCAAGCAGCCGTCTTCAGGTGGAGAACAGGTCTGTCGAGAAGGCAGAAGCTTCAAATCGAAAAATGAGACCGTTTGTGTTGCTGGAGGTCCCGCTGTCAGATTTCAAATGGAAACCGCATTGTATTGGTAACATTATACACTACAAGTGTAGTGGTGTATTCACACAGACACTTTTAGCTTTTCTCCTGGATGCTCCTCACACCAACACAACGCACCCTTGCTCCGAATTCCCTCTCTATACTCTGCTAGCCTATCACTCTTCTTTCACACCTCCACCCTCGTCCTTGCCTCCAGTGGGGGATCAGCCAACACTGCTTGGGAGGACGAGGTGTGGAGGGGGATGTCACAAGCTTCTTCTTCCCGGCTCTTGTCCTCTTCGTTCCTTCAGTTCCAACCAGCCACCCCGTGTTGCTCCACACACAACCTTATATCCCCCTTCCTCATTAAGGGTCCTTGGTTACCCCCCATTAAGCTGGCGCCTCAGCGGCGCCTCCTGCACGTGCTTTCTCTATCTGATCATCTTCATCTCCCGCCTATCTGGCGTCTACCCCGTGTTCCCACGCTTGCACCTGCTCGTCCTCAAATGCACCCGCTGTTTGCAAACCCCGCGCGTTACGCCACTACACAAGTACAGACACCCAGATATGCTATTAA